TGTCTATCAAAGTAGGTGGGAGACTTGGAAATTACTCTATTTATTGACCAATTAGATAATAACTTATGGTTTAATATATGAAATTATAATCTTATTAAATCTATAATTCATATTACCATATTATATGGATCACCAAAATAACTAAATAATTAAATTTAGTCTAACAAAAGGTTGCTGGGTGTGTTGTATTGGAATCTCTCCAATCCAACTTGTTTTTTTCCTCTGTTTTTTTGGTGTTGCTGTTCCTTCGCTGCTGAGTGCACGTGATTGGCCTGATGCCAACTTCATTCTTGGTAAAAATGCAGTTTGTCCTGCGGCCCTTTCCTTCTTTGTATTGATCTCCTTTTCTCTAATAAAATTTTTTTCTTTGCTGATTTAAAAAATAAATAAATAAAAAATAAAAAGTTTTTGGGACTCTCTTTCCACTAACGTGATTATGGGTCCCAAAAAATAAAATAAAAAAAAGTCTTTGGGGCTCTTTTTCCACTAACGTGATTATGGGTCCAAAAAAGTCTTAAGAAAAAGCTTTTTCTTTGTTGACATTTAACCCATAATCACGTTAGTGGAAAAAGAGCCCCAAAATGAGTAAAGTTACTAAAATATTATTTGGGTTCTAAATGGTTGATTTTTACATAAACTAACAACAAATATGTAACAGTTCAAATCAGTAGAAGCTTTCTTAAAGTGTTGTTTTAAGAGCCTTGAAAGCAATTTTTGAACATAATGAATAAGTTTACAACAATAATTTATCCATATACAAATAAATAAATAAAAAGTAAAATAAAGCAACATTCTTACTGTTGAAAAAGTTTCCATAGTATTAGAAAATGAAGGAAGATGGATTCTTGAGATTTTTAAGAAACATGTGACTTTCAAATCCTCAGACCTGCCCAAATAAGAAGAAAAACTGAATTGGTTAAATAAATTGAGTCAAGCCAATTAATAGGTTATTTAGGTTTGATTTAAAATTTTGATGAATTTTAGTGTGACTTACATAGCATTTGAATTTATCTTAAGCGAGTTTTAATCAAGCTAATCATGGGTAATTTGGTTTATATAAGAATAATGATTCATCTCCCTAATTTTACTCTCTCAAGTCCACCTCTAATGATGAAGAATTAGAGAAACTAAAGATGAGAGGGAGAGGAATGTGGAACCACTTCACATGGGAGTGGGTCACGGCATTAGAGGTGAAATTGGAGAGACAAAATTAGAGAATGTAGCACCAGTCTTTATAATTCATATAACCAAATTAAATTAAGTAATAGGTGGTTTAAGTTTGACTTAAAATCTTAATGAGTTTTAAAATATATTTGAACTTGGCTTGCTTACGTAATGAGACAATTTCAAACGAGCTTTTAATGAGTTGAACTCAAGAAGTCTGGTTTGTTTATAGCTCTAATCTTGGTTTAACGCTTGTATAATAATCATTTTATGAATTAGTTTTTGATTAATTCCAAATACTTAAAACTTGGCTAATTGAAACTAAAAACAAAAATAGTAAAACATATTATATGTACAACTTACATTGAATTTAATGGCTAAAATTCTATTTTTTTATTTTACTCAACATAAATATGCAAATATTTTAAATTAAAAACAAATCAAAAAATTAGGGTTTGAATTGATAAAATTAGAAATTCAAGATTTATTTTGTTTGAATTATCAAACTCTGAATTTTTTCTATAATTTTTTATAATTTTTTTTTTTCTTTCTGTTCATGTCATCGATCTCACTTAATTAAGACATGAGATTTAATTTAATTTGATTATATTGCCAATGATTTGGATGCAGGTTTGTGTTTGGTTATTTTCCTGATAGGATTTTCAAATCATTGGTAATGTAATCAAAATTTAAATTAAATCTGGTGGCATAACATATTGGTTTGCAGTGCACTAAAAATCATACTAAACACAAATCAGAAATAACAATAAACACTATAAAAATTTATATGATATCCCAAAAAATCAAACAAAATATACCACAAATAAAACTTAGAGAACCGTTGATTTATTTTGACATTTTTTATTATTAAATTAGATTTTAACTGTTATTGAGTTAGATAATCTTTTTCAATTCATATTAGTTGAAGTTAAAAACTTAAAAATTGCAATAAGAATAAAATAAAACTAATAGAAAAAAATGGCGATAATTAAGGGAATCAAATGAAATTATTTTATTTTTATTATTTTTTATTTTTGACAGTGAGGGGGTTGGCGTAGGTGGGAAGGCGTTTGACTCTCTGTATAGTTGTTTTGTTTTGAGCTCCGCGACACCTGTAATACCCTTCTCCCCCGGCTTTCTCAAATTCTTTGATTTCACACCCAGAATTGTCAACAAATTACATCCAACTAATTTATTTCATTAATAATATATTCGGCGGATCTTAGTAAATTGTTCATTTTGTCAAGTCATACATAAAAAATAAAAATAAAAATAAAAACTAAATGGATCCGATATCTGTAACTTATTCAATTTATTAAATTTGTCACTAAAACATAAATAACGAATGTATTTTTTAAAATAGGCCATCTTTTCCAAATAACTCCACCTTCTTGACTTCTTTTCCATGGAAGTTCTGTTCCGTTGAATAGATTGCTGTGTAAGTTGAAATCACGTTTTGTTTACTGATTAGAGAAGAACCCAGTCCTCTACGTAATATGGTCTGTCGCTTTGAGGTAATTTTTCCGAATAACTCCACCTTCTTGACTTCTTTTCCATGGAGGTTCTGTTCCGTTGAATTGATTGCTTTGAAAGTTGAAATCACGTTTTGTTAGTCTTGACAGAATTTTTTTGGCGTAAATTATGCACATGGTGGTTGTAATTTACATGATATATCAATTAAACTTTTGTTATTTTAATTTGTTCGATTCCGTTTATTAATTTAACGGATTGTGTCATATTGATCCAATAAATAATTGGCGTTAGGTTTGGTTGACGGAAACTCAAACGATGTATCAATTTAGTCCCTTTAAATAATATGTGATAGAAACTAAATTGATACATTGTGTAAACTAAAATAACCAAATTGACATATCATTTGAGCACATGATAACTTTTCGTCCACCAAACCTAACAGTCGTTATTTATTGAAATAATATGCCACAATCGATTAAGTTAAAGGGCAAAATTAAACAAATTAAAATAATAGAGACTAAATTAATATATTGTGTAAACTACAGAGACATTTACATAATTTATTTATTTTTTAACTAAATATTATTTTATGTTTTATTGTGAAACAAATATTACTAGAGGCTTAGTTAATAGTGAGAATATTTTCTTCTCTTCAATCTAATAAATTGGAGTGGCGAATTTTTTTAACAAAATATTTTTTTATATTTTATTGTGACTTTAAAACTAATATAATCAGTGACTTTGTTAATAATAAAACTATTTTTTTTCTCTTCAGCTTAAATCGGATTATGCATGGACCTACCATAGAGCTCATATCGATAATTCGAACCATCAATGTGTTGGGATCATCGAGTATTTCATCGCTGTAAAAAATCAGGTTTATTGGATTTCAATTGTCACTTGATCAAATCACATTTGTATCAACGGTCAATATGATTTTAAAAATAAATTATTAACACAAATGTAATCCGATACAATCACAATCTATATTTGATAAACTTGATTTTTTTCAGAGGTAAAATACTTGACGAACCCTACACATTAAAAATTCAAATAATCAGTGTGGGCTCTATGGTAAGCCCACAAAGTACCAACAACACGCTCTAGTTGGAAAAACCAACCAGAGAAACCTGTCCAATTTTGATTACTAGTGATAACATTAGTAAGATTTTAGTATGAAAAATATTTTTTTATCTTTTAAAAGTAGAAAATATTTTCCTACCCAATAAGCTTGCTTTTCACAAATTATGAAAAATATTTTTTCAACAACGCTAGGTATCATGAAAAACCTTTCATGAAAATAATTATGAAAGTTTTGTGACCCTTGGATTAGAATAAAGCACCACACAGTAATCAGATAATCCAAGAATCATAGGCTTCGTTTGGTAGAGCTTTGTAACTATGATTTGAGAGTATGAGTTGTATTTTGAATTTGTGTGTTTTAGAATTATGATTTGAGTGTAGAAAATTTGTTTGGTTATGGTTTTTGAATAAAGTGTTGAATTGAGTGTAGAATTAAGTTTTGAAAGTTTGATTTGACATGTGAAGTAAGAAAATTTGTTTGGTTATGAGTTTTGAAAAGAGTTTTCAAAACTTAATTCAAATTGTTATAACTCATAACAAAACACATTACTTTCACATTATTGAAAATTTTGATCAACACTCATAACCAAACTCTTTTTAAAATTCAATTAAAAAAAATTGGACAACCAGGATAACTTCACTTGTCGAATTAACGACTGCGTAGACTCAAACGCCTTTTGGATCCTACGCTTTGATCTTCGGAATCCACCGAAGAGAACTCACTTGAAACTTAAGAAGCAACCTCCTTGATGTATGAATCTCAATGCATAAGTTCAGAACTCTCTTAAGAACATCAAGGAAAACTCTCAAAAATCTCCCAAGAAGATTTTAAACACAACCCTAGTTTGTTTTGATCAGATCTAGGAAAACCGTCCAAACAAAACAACGTTAGCAGCTTTAAATAGGAATCTGAATCGCGATCTCCGCTCGAGCTCAACATAGCCCGCTCGAGCGGACTGAACAAAAACTGCATACGAAGAAACAGAGATGCGCTCGAGCGTAGGAGTTTCCGCTCGAGCGTCAAATCACGCCCACCAGAATCTGTGCTTGCCCTGTCAAACTACTGTGACCTGCTAATCTACGCTCGAGCTCAAGAGTCTCCGCTCGAGCGGACAATACAAAAACAGAAAAACATAGTTTTGAATCAACACAAGATTTTGTCTCTGGATTTGACAACACAGGGACCTAACAATTTTCATGAAAAAAATTTCATGACCCCTAACTTTTCTCATATTTTTTTGCTAATTTTTGTTTTTCATTGTACCAAATACCATAAAATATTAAAAATAAAAATTTTGCAAAAACAGACGGACTGTAAATCAAGAGCCAAACACCTAGAATATTGAATCAATGATGGTACCTAGCAATTTTTATTTTTATTTTTTTTTGATAAATTATGAATACATCCCTTGAAGTTTTCCTAATATACAGATTGTCTTTTATGATTCTGCAAATTATATTTCACGCTTTCAAATTTCTAATCGAATAACAATTAACCTTATTTCTGTTAATTATGTTATATAAAAAATTATGATAATAAGATATTTATAATTTTTTAAAAGAGAGGGATGCACTGGTCTTTCTTGGTCCACCACCATCACCATCACCTTCAATCATATTCCCTCTTGCAACCTTCACTCTGTCTCAACAAAATTTATTTATTTATTTTTAATGGTGCACACTTTAAAGAGCTAAGAAATTTCAGATTAGAATATTATATATATACCAGCCACCCTGATAAAATAATCGATTCATCATTAAAAAAAAAAAACATGGCAAAATTGGTTATTGTGGTCTACACTGCCCTTGTGTTGTGGTGCTACTTGTTGTTCAACATCCCTGCAGCAAAATGCATCATGGCAAATAATGAGACAGATAGAGCAGCATTGGAGGCCTTCAAGGCTGCAATTGTTCAAGACCCATTCGGTGCCCTCTCTTCCTGGAATAATTCACTCCACTTCTGTCTCTGGAACGGCATTTTGTGTAGTCGCCGACATCCTGATAGAGTCATTGGGATAACTCTAAGGTCCCAAGGACTGGTTGGATCGCTCTCATCTCATGTGGGAAACCTCTCCTTCCTCGAAAGAATCCGTCTTCCAAACAATAGCTTCCACGGCCCAATTCCACAGGAGATGGGTCGCTTGTCTCGGCTTCAAATAATAGAATTCGGCAACAATTCGTTTCGAGGTGGAATACCAAACAACCTTTCTCGTTGCTCAAAACTTGAATGGCTGGACTTGGTCAACAACAATCTAACCGGAAACATCCCAGCTGAGTTGGGCTCTTTGTCAAGGCTTCGAACTTTAGCCTTGAATAAAAACAAGCTTTCAGGAACCATCTCTTCTTTCATTGGAAACCTCTCATCTCTTTTTCAAATCTATTTATCGGAATGTAATTTGCATGGGGAGATTCCTGCGGAAATTACTAGGCTTCGACGCCTGAGATTTGTCGTGTTATATGGGAATAACTTATCCGGCAAGGTTCCATCTGGCCTTTACAATATCTCTACCATCATTTCGTTATCAGTAGCTTTCAACCAACTTGAAGGAAATATTCCTCCTGATATAGGCTCCACACTTCGTAATCTCAAGTTTCTTAATCTTGTCAGCAATTTATTTACTGGAACAATTCCTACTTCATTGTCACACGCTTCGAAGCTCGAATCGATACAATTTGGTGAAAATTATTTCAGCGGGACAATGCCGAGAGATCTTGGAAAACTTCTGAGTCTTCGATGGATAAGTGTTTCTCAAAATCGGTTGCAGGATGACCTCACTTTTATTTCGTCTCTAAAAAATTGCACCAGTTTACAATTTATTGAAGCGGCTCACAATCTTTTTAGAGGTTCATTGCCTGACTCCATAGCTAATCTCTCCACATATCTTAGCAGCATAGATTTGCAGAAAAATCAGATACACGGAATCATTCCTTCAGGCATCGGGAACCTCCTCAACCTCACTGTCTTATCTATGTCAGCAAATAATCTTGCTGGCCCTATTCCGTCCTCCATTGGAAGACTTCAAAAGCTGCATGGTCTGTACTTAGACCAGAACAAATTCACAGAACTTCCATCTTCGCTTGGTAATTTGACTTCGTTGATTACTCTAAACTTGGGAGAAAACAACATCCGTGGAAGCATACCTCCGAGTTTGGGCAATTGTCATAGCTTGTTGGAATTAGACCTTTGTAAAAATAATCTTAATGGTTCAATACCCCCTAAAATTATGAATCTCTCCTCCATTTCAATACGCCTCTTGTTATATCACAATACACTGACTGGTTCTCTTCCATTAGAAGTTGGGTCTTTGAAAAATCTTGCAATCATGGATTTGTCCTATAATAGATTATCAGGATTCATACCAAACACTCTGAGCAGTTGTTTGAGTCTGGAATGGCTGCTGTTGAAGGAGAATTCATTTGAAGGAGAGATACCTCAAAGTTTGAGCACGCTGAGGGGCTTAAGAGTATTGGATCTTTCGCGCAACAATTTGTCGGGGATGATCCCAAGTCATCTAGGTGAGCTTCAATTAGATATGTTGAATTTGTCTTTTAATATGTTACATGGACCAGTTCCCATGCAAGGAGTGTTCGGAAATTCTAGTGCAATTTCAATTGTTGGAAATAATGATCTATGTGGAGGCATTGAAGAATTAGACCTTCCTCCTTGTCCATCCTCCAAATCAAGCAAGAATAAGCTATCTCACGGGATGAAAGTGATCCTAGTGGTGGTTGTTCTTGTGATACTTTTATCTTTGTTTGTTAGCTTCTTTATATTTTTTCGACGGTGTCATGTTTCAAAACAGAAGACCTCTAGCACGTCCCAAATCATGCATCAATTTTTGAGGGTTTCTTATGCAGAGCTTCTCAAAGCCACCAATGGATTCTCAGAGGCTAATCTAATTGGTGTTGGGAGCTATGCTTCAGTTTACAGAGGGATTCTTGATCAAGTTCAGAAGGTTGTGGCAGTGAAAGTGCTCAATCTTCAGACCACAGGAGCTTCTAAGAGCTTCATGTTAGAATGCAAGGCACTAAGAGCCATAAGGCACCGAAATCTATTAAAAATTTTGAGCATTTGTTCCAGTGTGGATTTCAATGGTGATGAATTCAAAGCTTTAGTATATGAATTTATGGCCAATGGAAACTTGGATAAATGGTTGCATCAAGTTGGAATGGGAGACCATGAGCAGCCAGAAAAACACAGAAATCTAAAACTAATTCAAAGATTGGACATTTCCATTGATGTCGCTTCTGCACTTGACTATCTTCATTGTGGTTGTGAGCCTACAATTATTCATGGTGATCTAAAGCCGAGTAATGTTCTTTTGGATGATGAGATGACAGCCCATATTGGAGATTTCGGGTTAGCAAAAATTATTTCTACCGTTTCAAGTGATGTGGCACAAGGTCAAAGCAATTCAGTTGCAATAAGGGGAACCATAGGCTATGTTGCTCCAGGTACAAAATCTTTTCAAGTTCCATGGTGTAGAAAACCTAAACTTGCAATAGGGAAAGTTATATATATACACACACATACATATATATGCACATTGCATGGTAGAATAATTTCAGCATAAACAACCATACAAAAAACCATGGCTTTCTACAAAATAGTGTGCGCCTGCATATTTTTTAACAATTTTTTTATACATATTCTATGTCATTTCTTGATGCTCCCAATGTGTACTTCCACCTCCTTACTGTTAGCAAGCTTGAGTTAATCCTCTATGCCTCCTCCTCTGCTTCTCTTTTTTTTTTATATGGAAAAAAAAAAAAAAATCTTCTTTATGTAATTCTAGTTTGAAAGTTTAGTCTTACCAAAATAGTCCATGGTATCTACTAGTGGAAAGAATTATTATAATACTTTGCAACCAAAGCATCTTGCAAAATCTTACTCAAATCTTGGAACTTGTATAGTTGATTTTGATATACCTCTCCAATGCAAGACTAATATCCGTTTGCTTCAATGAAAAATATAATTAAACTATGTTGTTCTTAACAATGATCTCACTCAGTCACGCACGCACCAACCAAAAAACTTGAAATTAAGGCCATCATACAACATTAAAACCGTCTTAAAAAATTAATAAATATTTTTTTTTATTGGGATTACAATTATGCCAACTAACTAGATTCACTTTCACACTAACATTAGAAACATTTTGCAGAGTATGGCATGGGTGACATGACTTCCACACTAGGAGATGTATACAGCTTTGGGATTCTTTTACTAGAGATGTTTACAGGTAAGAAACCAACTGATGATATGTTTAAGGATCATTTAAATCTACATATATTCGTTAAGAATGCTTTGCCTCAACGAGTGATGGAGATTGTGGATCCCTACATCCTATTGGAGCATAAAACAAGGTGGATTAAAGACTGCATGGTTTCCATTCTAAGAATTGGGGTTGCATGTTCAATGGAATCACCAAGAGATCGAGTGGGAATGGGGAGTGTTATTAGTGAATTGCATAACATCAAAAATACTTACTTGAATGAAGGGTTGAACCAAGAATGAAGGGTTGAACCAAGACTGGAAAGTAGGAAGAGATTTTGCAACATGAAAACCTTAAGGTGTGTATCTTACCCGCTTGAGCTATGCATATGCATATCAAAATGGAAAATGCTATACAATAATGCAATAATGGTTTTTTTATTACTAAACACAAATACATAGATTAATGTAGACTCCATTGACTTTGTATCTAGTGGTAAGAAAATTTACTAAAATTTTTGTTTGTATACACTGTTACTCTACTAGAGTACTTTTCCTGTCCCTTTTTTTTTGAGTAAGTGAACCAAAGCATGTTTTTCCTTTTGCTGCTCAGGTTACTTCCAATAATGGTTTACTCTACGAGACTACAAGCGGTGGCTTCAGTATCTTCATATCAGCAATCTTTAATCTATTGCTTGAATAAAAAACTGTCACTTTTTCTCCTTTGGTTAGATTGCATTATATAAAAATGTGTTCATTTGAAATGTCTCCAGCTAAGATTGTATGACTAGAATTACTGTCTGTATCCCTTTAAAATTATCATTTTGTTGTATGTCTTTTGCTTGAAATTGCATGTCTATATAGATTTTACTCTTTAGTCATTGTTAAATTGTCGTTCAAAATTGACATTTGGAGATCAACCTTCTTTGCTTGTTTGATATTCAAGTATTTACTAATAAGGTTCCAAAAATAAAATAAAAACTTGGATAATTTACTGTTTCCACCCTTCAACTTTTACCTTAATTTTATTTTGGTTCATCAACTTTTTAATTGTAACAATTAAACTCTCAGATTTCAATCCGAGTTTTAACAAAGTCATTCCGTCATCTCATTATTTAAAATTTGAGTAAAAATTGAAATATGAATAGCCGAGGTGAAATTTGAGTCAAAGTTATAGATTTAATGTCTAATTTTTTTCGTATTTGTTTCCCTTAATGGTTGAAGTTTGAAAGATAGAAAATATAAATGACTAAAATAAAATCTTAATGGTTGAAGTTTAAAATCTTAATTAGTAAGTAAAAGATAAATGACTAAAATAAAATTCGAATGATAATTTGAAAGATAGAAAATATAATTTACCCAATAAATTTAAGGGCACAGTACTATCTAACTCAAAAGCATAATATAAATTCAAGTCCAAATCCCACCAAACATAAAATTATTCAAAAAGCAATATATAATCTCACTTGACATTCAAAAAATAGTTCTAAAAGCCATATATAGAATATAATAAGAATAAAAAACTAAATAAATTTTTTATTTTAAAATTTTAAACACTTTAAAATTTTGGAAAATTTTATGGGTTTGTACCATATGCACTTTTGATTATGACTTTTATGTCTTTAGTTATAACTTATTGTCTTATTAGTTATGACATTCTTCTAGTTATGATAAAAGAGTTGTTTGGTTATAACTCATGTGATATTTGATGATAACTTATTTTTGTTAGTTATGACTCTTATAGTATAACTGATACACATTTACTTATGTCATTTGTGATAATCAAACTCACAAATGGTTAGTATTACGAGTAAATTATACATTACCATTTTATGTTTGACCACTTTCTCACTTTATTTTGACCTTTCATGTTTCAAATTTTTGCTAGTTTACTCCTAAGTTAATTTCTATTGAAAATTAGAAAGAAAATGACACATTAATAGTCATGTAGTATAAAAATGTTTTATTATATACAACTCACATCTCTAACATACACTTAAAATCTAATATAATACTAATACACTTTTTATTTTATATGACAGTTATTATTACATTTTCTGTCTAATTTTGAACACAAATTAGCTATAGGAATAAACTAGAAAAAACTTGAAATATAAAAGGCCAAAATTAAAAAATTAAAAAAAAAAGATAAATAAAAACTTTAAGGACCAAAATAAAAAAGTGGCCAAACATAAAAGAGGGCAAAGGGTAATTTATCCTTGGTATTACCATAAAGATTTTGTATGTTTATTGTTCAAGGAAAGTTTTAAAAAAAAATGTAAAACTATCAGCTTGTTTGGTTCCTGTTTTTAGAAAATATTTTTCAAAAAATTTTACTTTTTTATTTTTCGTATTTTAATGTTTTCAATGAATTTTTAAAATATTTTAAGCACTTTTTTTTTTAGACACATCTAACATAAATATACTTAAAAAGTATAATATTTCTGGAAAAAAAATCTTTAAAAATACACTAAATACCAAAAAAATAAAATAAAAAATCATACATTTTTGTATTTTTTTGAATTTATTAATTTTTTAAAATATTTTTTCACAAATATTTTACTATTTTAGATACATCTAAGTAAGGTGCATTTAAAAAAGTAAAAAAAAAATTACTTAAAATTTCAAAAATATTCACTAAAAACAAAAGAATACAAAAATCAAAAAACTTAATTTTCAGAAATCTGAATTCAGAAAACTGAAACTAAAAACACTGATTGTATTTAACCAACTTGACTCATAATGTTGAATTTAAATTATGTTTATCTTACTAAAATAGCAATAAATAAATTTGAATCACATCATAAATGAATCCCAAAAAGAATTGTGAAGTGAATCGTAAATAGTATAATTATATCAAGATCCTCTCAATTATTATCAAATATCATTTTACTTTCTTCATTTTTTAATCTGTACATATTAGTCCTTGAATTATAAAAATCATACAAATGTATCCTTTATGAAGATAGTCAATTTTGTTTGATTCCAATTTTATGAATTCAATTTTTTTTTAAATTGAGTTTTTTATTTTTCTTAATTTTTTTTTTGATTTTAGTGAATTTTTTTAATATTTTTTTTAAAAATTATTTTTTAGATACACTTAATATAAATACAATTAAAAAGTGTAATATTTGTGAAATTTTTTTTAAAAAAAATTCACTAAATACCAAAAATATGAAGAAAAAAATTAAAAATTCAATACATTTTGTATTCTTATGCATTTATTGATTTTTTAAAATATTTTTTTACAAATATTTTACTTTATAGGTATATTTAAATTATGTGCATCTAAAAAATAAATGAAATAAATAAATAAAAACTTCTTAAAATACTAAAAAAAATCATTAAAAACAAAACAAAAGAAAACAAAAACTCAATTACCAGAAAATTGAGTTCAGTATGTTTTTTTATAATTGAAGGGGGAAAGACTGATAGAAATTGCATCTTATACAGGGGGAAAAAATGGCTAATTTCATAGTTTTTAAGTCATAACTAAAAACAATAATAATAATAAGTCATAAAAAAAAATTTCATAACTAAAATCTCAAAATAATTTCATAACCAAAAAAAAATAATAATGTAATTAAAGGTGCATAAGGTATGGAGTGTGTATAATAGAATTCTCTAATTGAATGAGTTAAAATATAAGAATTATATATATATATATAGTATTTTTCTTTTTCTTATGTGGTACATTCCAAATGTTTACTTTTTTTAAAAAAAAAAATCACATCAATATGCCTTTTTCATTTACATATAAAGTTCTACAAATTCAATTTCAAATATAATAACTAATTTTATATGAATTCTATTTGCTTATTTTCCATATATATAATTATAATTTTATTATTATGATATTTAAAAAAAATATCTCGATATATAAATAAATAAAACAGAATGTGCTTAATTACGTGCATTGCACAGATCAAATTAATTTTTTTTATATTTTTATTTTTCGTCTATCTTATTAATGTCTTAATATTAATTTATATTTAATTTTTTATTTAACATGAAATTATATATTACATAACATTTATATTTAATTTAAATTTTATATATCTATATACAATACGTATGAATAATTTAAAAATAATATTAAAAAATCAATACTCTACATAATTAATTTATGTATTTTTTTCTTAATCCAATCACAATTTTTTTATATTTAATATTTTAAATAAATTATGTGTAGTTCTATTTCTACATATTTTTATTTTTATAAAAATAAAAATAAAATTAAGTGATTAGAATAACTTTTAATTTTATATTACTAATTCTTTTTTCTAATTTAACTATTATTTTTAATATCAAAATGAGAGTTCATTTTATTATGTTATAATTTAATATATATCATATAAAATCACTATATAATAATTACACTTTTATAACACAATATAACTAAAATTATCAAAATAAATAAATAATTTAACTAAATTTATTATATATAAGCATTCAAATAACATTTTTATAAAATGATAAAGTTAAGATTATTAAAATATATAATTTAAATTAAAATTTTATTTTAAATTAAAATTAATATTATTCTTTTGTAACACATATCATAACATAAGATATCATTACATTAATTAAAGTTAATTTCATTGTGATTTTATGGCAGATATCATATTTCTAGAAATGATTTACATACACGTTCAGCGTCCAATTTGATATTAATTGATTAAAATAATAGAACTCAATACTTTTTTGTTAAGTTTTTAGAAGATAAATTGACAAATGTCAAATGTTAAATAATATGGAGTATTATTTTAAAGAATAATGATTCATTGAAAATAATTGTGTATATTTAAGGGTCCTATTGATGATTCTTGAATAATTTTTAAATAAAAATTTTGAATTTATAGTATTACTGATAATGCACTATAATGAGTTCTGCCAGAAAAGATATGCAAAAATAATTGGATTATTTACCGATAAATCCTACTTTACAAACTGTTATACCAAATAGTCCCACTTTTATTCTATTATACCAAATAGTCTTGCTAGTGGGTTGATTTGGTCTTTTTTGTTTTTTTTTTCCATTTTTTTAAACTGTGTGGACAAGAGTGCCCTTGGTTTAATGTGGGATTGTGTTTGCTGGATCAGTTCCTTTTTTGGAAGCATTGCTCATTCTATCACTGTGTGTGTGCGTGTAACAGTGGCTGCTGTGTGTGTATCTTTGTGTGTGTATGTGTATCATTGTGTGTGTGTGTGTGTGTTGTGTGTGTGTGTGTATCATTGTGCTGTTATGTGTGTTTGTTTATCATCGTACCCCAGCCTTTTCATCACCGAGTAAATCGCATCCAACTGTGCATCAAACATGACGTAGTCCAGAGTATTCGATGTGAACCCGAAAAACGGGTATGGGCAGACTATGAAGGGCGTGTTTGTTTGGCGATGGAATTCAAGGATTGGGGCAAATATGACCATGTCGAAACCCGCCTGAATCGACCCGAACTGGGTGGCTCCGAGATTGATAATATACCTAGTGAATTAGGTGTGGAGACCTGAATGCTGGATATTTCGGCAAGATTGACGGCGGCGTGGAGAGATTTCATGGCGGGGAGGAGGTGGGCGATGACGGTTTTGTCGGCGGTGGCAATGACCTCGTTCCCGACGGTGATGCGGTGGATTTTGGCGATGGGGTAGAAAGAATGATGTTGTTAGCCACACAGGACACGGCGGCGGAGAGTTTGGAGACGGCGGGGATGTCGGAGTTGGCGACGGTGACGGTGACGTAGATGTCGGAGTTGGCGAAGGCGCGGAGGATGTCGGGGTTGGCATCGAAGATCTTCACTGTGTCAATGGTGGTTTGGTCTTTGATGAATGTGTGTGTGTCTGCCTATGTGAACCCCCAAACACACCAACCCAGCCCAAAACAAAAAACCCCTTGCAGCGCGTTGTGTGTGCTGTGTGTGTGTATCAGTGTGTGTGTGTGTGTGTGTTGAAGCCATCAGTGTGTGTGTGTGCGTGTATCAGTGTGTGTGTGTTATGTGTTGGGTGTGTCTTAGAGGGAGAAGAGAGAGCTGGGTTTGGTGTGTGCTGTGTGTGTGTGTGTGTGTGTGTGTGTGTGTGTGTGTGTTGTGTGTATGGTGTGTATGAGTGTAGCTGCTGGGTGTGTGTGTTAATAGTGTTTTGTGTGCATGGTGTCTTGTGTCTGCTAGAGAGAGAAGATATGTGTGTGGCTGGGTCTCCATGTGTGAGAGAGAGAATGCTAAGAGAGATGAGTGGTGTCTAAATGAGGGTAATTACGTCTCTCAAAATTTTCCAGGACTAAACGGTTTACTAGAATAAAAATGGGACCAATTGGTTCATAAGTTTATATTTTGGGATTTATTGGTAAATCTCCCAAAATAATTTGGCTGAAATAAAAAATTTGCGATTATTATAATGTGTCACATAATTAATCATAACTCTTTTGAGAACTAAAATTATTAAGTTTATAGATTTTGTACTTGATTCCCCTCAAAGACACTATTTATGATTTTAATTTGTAATTTTTTATACATCAATGTGAATAACTCTTACAATTTTATTGATATAAGTATAAATCCTATCTTTGAGTCAATAGACCTTAAATACTTTTTTGTATAATAAAAGACTTAAATATTGTTATATAAAGGTATTATAAGTAAATCATAATCAAACATCACTTGAAATATAATAAACACTCCATGCACTGGTTTAGACATAACCAAAAATATAAGAAATTAGTAAAGACTTTTTCGATTAATAACTAAAATAATACACCATAAATTATAACCAAGTCATAATTTATATATTATAGAATTTTCTTTATTTTTATTTTTTTTTTAAAAATATTTTGATATAAGTGAAATTCATGATTTTTGATGAATTTGATTAACATAAATGAAGAATTTTGATATATGTGATTTTTGATAGAATCACATGTATAATGGCAAAAATTTTCATCAACCATTGATAAATTTGTTTGTATTTAATTTTTAATTATTAAAATTTTCTATATATAAAATATTAAAATTCAAAATTAATTTTTTATTTTAAAATAAATTTTCATGCATTATAGGGGTCAACTAAAATAAATGAATAAATTGAGATTGGGCAATAGTTGAGGGATTATTGATGAGGGATTATTGATATAATAAACCCTAATTCTATCCCAAAACGAAACAAAACAATCGAGACCGAGTAATACACATTCCCTTGATTATCTAACAGGGCTATATCACACATCTCTCCGCAAAAACAAGAGCCAATATCATGGCGTTGAACTACGGATTGAGATCGTGCGCATCAAAGCTTCTATCTTCCTCCAATTCATTTCTTCCCAAATCAGGTCAGTACTCCGATTCCTTCCGGTTGTATCGCTCTAGGGTTTTTTTTTTTTTTTTTTTTTTTTGTTTTTTTTTTCTACTACTGCTCTGTTTGGCAACTGGGAAAATGCAAAACCCATCTTAATCGTGGATTTTCTATTACTGATTGAGTCTGTGCTGCAAATCCTGATTGATTTCGTTAGATCTATTTAATGGGTTTGCGTTTTTAATTGTAGATATGTACATGTTTTTATGTCCGCTATTGGATTTTTTCTTGAATTGTAGTATGATATGTGAAGTCATTGGATGAATTTGGGCATAGGCTGATTGTGCTCTAATGCGTGTTTTTGAATTTACATGGATCGTGAGCTGAATTGTAGATCTTTTGAGGGTATAGAGGAGCTGAGTTTCAAGTTGAAGAATAGATTTTTATTTAATTTATACATGAATTTAATACTTGAATACAATGTATACTTGAATCTATTCAGAAGACTAAAACCTAGTTTAGTGTTTGGTTTTGTTTTTAAAATCTGTTTTCTGAAAAATACTAGAAACTAGTTTTTTAAAAATTACTCCAAAAGATAGTCATATGAAAATGACGAGTGCTTTTTCAATTTTTCATTATTATTATTATTTTTTTTTTTTTATCAAATTAGTTTTTAATGTTTTTCAGAATACATGTTATGAAAGCGGTTTATATATATACATTGTAGAGCCTCTTAGTTTTGCTCATTCTTCCTTTGTATTTGGGTGGCATCTCTTTTGAACCTTCTCTTAATATAATTTTGTTTACCGGGGAAAAACAGAAAGGGTTTAACATTTGGTAGTGTCCTCTGAGCTTGCCAAAAAATCCATCCATCCACTTTGTTTATATTCTGCTCATATTCACCTCACCAATATTTTGTAAGAATTTCTTGCTTATATCAAACTTGGTCTCCTATTGCAAATAGCATTAGGATCCTTTTTGCTCGATAAATTATATTTCAAATACAGCCATTTGAGCAATTTTCTTGGATTAGTAGGCAAAAGAATTAGCCCCTGGAAGGGGACGAAAATTTTCTTTATTTATCTATCAACTCATCACTATAATTTTAACTTTAGAAAACACTTTTCATTTTAAAGTAGTTAATCCTCCTTACATATGATATTTCATGGACCAGTAAAAAATTCCAACTTTTTTGTTGTTGCTCTTCTCAAGTTTCGAGTTTTAATTTATGCAATTGAAGAAATCATTTCTAAAATGCCAAAATAATCCGAATCATTGTAAAATCGATATTATAGCAAGATCACAAGTAGAATCCTGTAAGATCTTGTGGGATCATGTAGCATCATGGTAGGGTTGCAGCTGGGATCTTTGTTGGTAGTTTTGCTTCTTTATATATATATATATATATAATCTTATGATCCTACGATCCAATCCACAAAACCCTCTTGCCAATCCCATGTAAGATCCCAATTTTAAGAACCGTTGTTCTATGCAGCTTGTTCAATTGGTAACTTGCTATAACAATGGCAACTTTGTGTTTTTGTTTTTGGAAACAGCCAACAGAGGGTTCCATTCAACAGGAGTGAAGAGGATGGGAGGAGGACATGGCCACGATGAACCTTACTACCTTCATGCAAAGCACATGTACAACTTGGACAGGATGACGAATCAGAAGCTGAAGATGACCCTTGGTGTCTTCACCGCCTTCAGCATTGGCGTTGCAGTACCCATTTATGCCGTCATCTTCCAGCAAAGGAAAACCGCTTCTGGATAATGGCCCCTATCGGATCAAACCTTCGCTGCAATAATAGATACTGTTTTGGAATGCCTTGGTAGTAGACTTTAGGTATGGATTTGATTGGTTTTCTGTGTCATTGCTTTGGATCTGTTATGTTTTTGCTTTCTCTGCTGCTCCAACTTGGGAATAGTTGTTTAATACTGCATTAATTCATAATAATGTTCTGTGGTTCTCAGAGTTCAGTTTGTCTCTGATGCGCAGAAATTAGATCCATTTTCAGAATTGGATGAATGATTTGTTTTTGAGCATTATTACTTCTCCCCATATTATTAGTTAATTCTATCTGTTGATGGCTGAGTGAAAAGAAGAATCAACAACTTAAAATCTTCTTCCAAGAAAATTTGAATATGAAAACTGTATTTTCCGTGATATGAATAATCAAGATTCCAAAATGCTGATAGAGGTGTGTTATTTTCCGTGATATCAAGATTCCGTGATATGAATAATCAAGATTTCAAGAAAATTAGAAGAACATGCCATTGTTCTACATGGCATGGGTAATTATTGTATAGCAGTGAGTTGTGTTTCTTTGGGGTCGATGATGATCACATTGGAGAAATATTAATTTGATTGAATTACCTACTATATGTACACAAGTCTCAAAATGAAAAGTGAGAATTGTAAGGAAAAATTATTTGGTGCTTCATGCTGCAAAAACAAACACCATGTCAAATGTCGTTCTATTGTCTCCTCAATTCCCAGTATAAAAGGATGAACTATTATATTTTCACCAATCACAATATATTTGGACCACCATCGTTGCATAACTTCTCGAATTCAACGATTTCAAGAGTCAACTAAAAAAAATATAGTGAAATTAATCAAAAACGAGGGATTAAAATAGAACACAATAAAATTTTGTGGGTTTATTAGGTCACAAATCTACTAAAAGAGATTTATAAAATCTCTCTAAAAGTAACCTACTTCTTGGCAGTTTCAGCTAAATTTTTTTTTACCCATTTGGCAATAGCTATGTAGCTGATAAAAGAAAGAATCAATAAATGTCTTTTCATTAACAGAAAGTAAATTTTGTAAAAAAAAATTCTTAACAAGTCAACTTTTTTAACAATTATTTATTCTTAATTTTTTTTTTTAAATTACTAAAAACACATTTGCCAAGCCTCACAATGGTTTGTGCAGAGAGTGGCAACAGGTTGTTCAGTGTTTGGCCACGAGTGCGGTAAGAGAGTCTGGGCGTCCACACATGGGAACTCAGGTATTTTTGGACATTGGATTTGAGGAGAGAAGAAAAAAAGAAAAAAAAAATTCATACACTTTCTTTTTCTTCACCAAATCTCTGCATAAATCTAATATCCAAACACAGCTATGGGATCCACAATCTCCAAAGTGGACTGCAAACATAGTGATTGGAAACTCAGAAAATAAAATTTTGAACTCAGAAAGTTCATATATATATATAGCTTGGAAACAAATTCCACAGTTCAATTCCAAAATGCCTTTGAACATACAAAGCAAAGCACAGATCAAAATCTATCTATTATTTGACAAACAAAAGATGATAGTCTCGCAGGTGCTGATGTACACAAAACACAACTTTAAATCAAACCTACAATAGAAATTTCCAAAGAATAGGTGTTTTTTTTTTCCCTCTGTTATGATAACACGATCTCTCACCTTTTGTTTATCTCTCTCTACTCTTTTGCTTTTGTGCTATGTTCTACTGCTCAGCTCGAGCTTTTTTCAGCATGTCCAGGAGAAGGATCTTTTAATCACAGGCTTCATTTGCTTGTCCTCTTCGAGGGAGATCATCCCCAACTGTGATGGATCCTCCAACATCATCTTCGCCACCAAATATCCGGCTATTGACCATGTCTGATATTTCCTTGCTTGTTTACCGATGTATTTCCCGAGTTTGCCGTCATAATATTCTGGCCAGCTGTCTTTCAGCAGTCGGCTCTCAGCAAGATCAATTACTCGTCTTGCAATTTGGGGCCGTCCCGTTTTGATGCAGGCAGCCGTTAGCAACCACAAAAGCACTGTGCATTCAAGATAGGGGGGGAAAAAACCAAAAAATAAATGTGGTAATGGGAAAACATGTTAGTTCACTAACATTGACTGGAGAATTTTATTTTTTTATTTTTGATAAGCAACATTAATGGGAGAAATTTCAACCACAGAATTAAAAACAATAAGTAACTCTATTTTCTAAACTCTCAACCTAGAACCCAGAAGGAATAATGAATTGGGGTACAAGGTCAACATACACAAGCCCTTGTGTGCAGGAAACTAAAAGTTAAGAGGTAAAAATTCAGTGTAGAGTACTTAGAAATAATAATCACCTTGCTTGGTTTTCAGTTTTCCAAAACACTTTTCAGAAAATTCTACTCTCTTATTTTCCGTGTTTTTTTTGTTTTTATTGAATTTTTTTAATATTTTAAGTAATTTTTTTACCTTTTAGACACACCTAACATAAATACACCTAAAAAGTAAAAAAATTGTAAAAAAAATCTTTTAAAAATTCATTAAATACCAAAAATACAAAAAAAAAAAAATACAAGAATTCAGTACATTTTTTGTATTTTTATGTATTTATTAATTTTTTAAAATATTTTTTCACAAATTTTTTACTTTTTAGATACATCTAAGTAAGATGCATCTAAAAAAATAAAAAAAAAAAATGTTTAAAATTTAAAAAATATTCACTAAAAACAAAAAAATACAAAAACCAAAAAAGTCAGTTTTCAAAAAACTTAATCCAGAAAACTCAAACCAAACACAGTGAATACTTTTGAGGGATTTCTTGCAGGATTTCTAGAAATATTTACTGAAAATAAAATAAATTTATGATGTTCTCAGAGATCCAAAAACATCCCTACGGCAATAAATACTATAGGTCTCTCTCTCTCTCTCTCATGGAGCATCTATGCAAGCACACCACGGCAGTTATTTGATCCCAGAAATGCATAAAACTCCAGCAACAAAGCCAAATCAGGAAACCATTCCCCTCATCTCCTACGAAGAAACTCTAGCTCTTTTACAAGTGAGAAACACCTTCCATGTTATTTCATAAGAAGACAAATGAGAAGAGGAAAAAGTTAATTAAGAGGTTGAATATTGATTCTAAAAGGGTTGAAGAGAGGGAAGATCATACAACTAATTAAATTTTTTCCATTTACTGCATGTTGTATACTTCAAGTGGGATTGGATAGAGCAAGCATTGAGTGTTTGGACGAGTGCTCTCCAGTCCAGCTCAGTAATCAAATTAGTTGGAAAGACATTTTGATGAGGAGAATAGATTGGCAGTTTTTAAGTGTGATAAGCTTAATGCTTCCCGGGTTGGTGCTTCCACCCTGACTGTCTTTCAAGATTTGTGAAGATGTGGTGATTAAGAGGAATTTGGTGAAAGTATTTTCTAATTTTTTGAAGAATAGTGTAGTGGACACTTGCAAATGCTTCATTTATTTGTTTGATACCTAAGAAAGATAATTATTTGAGGCTTGGGAATTTTAGGCCAATCAGTCTTGTTGCGTCACTTTACAGAATTTTGGAAAAAGACCTTTCTAGGAGATTAAAAACAGTTTTAGGGGATACCATCTTTCTTTCTCAAGGCTCCTTTGTTGAAGGACATTAGACTTTTGGATGCGCTTTCCATTGCAAATGAGGTGGTGGAGTAATATAGTTGATGTAGTAAGGAGGTTGTTTTTTATTTATTTATTTATTTATTTTTTGGATAAATAAAGGAGGGTGTCATTTTTAAGGCTGGTTTGTTTGAGAAAGCCTATGATCATGTAGAGTGGGGCTTATTAGTTCTTGAAAAATGATTGAGAGACCAAATAAATAGAAATGTTTTGGGATTAGGTAGAGAAAGTGAATTCAATATTGTTTGCCCTCTTGCAATTATAGTTAATTGAATGGTGGGCGCTACATTTCAAGGCCTCTAGAGAGGCCTTAGATAGAGTGATTCTTTATCTCTCTTCTTGTTTACCTTAGTGGTGGGTGTTTTGGCTAGAATGGTTGATATGGCTAAGGATTTTTTTTTTTTTTTTTTGACTAGGAAACGTAGTATTTGTGTCTCATTTATAGTCGGTAGATGATGCCATTTCTCTCTTTGGGAGAAAAGAATAAAATGGTTAATTTGTTGTCTATCCCAAGGATTTTTTTAGTTGTTTTCCAGACTAGGGGTGAATATGATTAAGTTCCATTGTAGGTATTAATTTTCCACCAGGCTAAATAGGATGGCTGGTTGTCAGCTTGTCACATTGAGTCCTTGCGTTTTAAGTATTTAAGGTTACCTTTGGGAAGAAATCCTAGATGTGAATATCTTCGGAATCCAACTAGAGAAAAGATTGGGAAAAGATTGGAGAAATGGAAAAGGGCTTTGATAACTAGAGGATGGAGTACACTCCGGCTCAATCAAATTTGTCTAGTGAGTCTAATTGTTTCTTATCTTTAGGAAAGTCTGCCCGCCCTTAGCTCCTGGGCATAGCAGTTCAGGTGTACTAGTCTGTTCTTTCTTTTCCTAGAAAATAAACGAATAAATAAAACTAAAAGCAAAAACAATAACATAATTAATTACCTTAATCACATTATCCTACATTCTCTTAGAGCCTTAACAAAACTAGGTTAAACTGAAGCATTTTCTTGCAGTGGACTTCAGGGCAAAGGCAATCTGAATAAATAATAAGTGCTTCTCAGATCCATTCAGTAAACATAGAGAGTTCATAAATTATTCTCATGGACTTCCCATTGGACATACAAGTCTTGCCTACATGTAACACTAATTAATGAAAGTTCTGTAGGTCTTCCCTAAAGTAGCTTTGACTAGGTCAGATGGTTAAGAATGTGATAATGATATGCACTTTGGTCATCACAAAAAGAGTCTACCAGCTAAATTTAATTTCATCCTAGCTACGTTCTGTTGTCAAACTTGAGCACCAAAATTAATACTAATTAATACACAATAAAAAGGATTAAATTCATAAAGAATGACAGGAGAACTGTGGAAGAACCTGGCCAAGATCCTCCATTGTGATAACTCCATCTGGTATTCTTCGGGTCACAACCAGTTACAATTCGCCATTCATGACTTTCTATTGCAGGATAGCATATCTTCAAAGGCATTTCTCCAACCAGCTCCTCCCAGCGTTCTTCAATAAGATCCATAATGGCAGCAGATTGTTCAGGAGTTGCCAAAGAAGCTAATATAGCTATACAGTTACCTAAAGCAAACCATCGAAAATCCATCCTGGCAGGGCTGACATTGCCAACAAAGTACCCACCGCGCGTTGGCATAAAATCAAACACCCATTCTGGGATTGAATCAGGCATAACATTAAACTTATTTACTGCAGTGTGAGAATACTCCTCTGTTTTATAGCGGTATATGTCATTTAATTGTTGGAAGTCAAGCCAGAAATAACTTCGCATGTGATAACTCAAAGCATGCAAACGCTTTACTATTCTCTCGACAAACTCCGAGCTTTCCCCTCTGCATCATGTTTCAGCATTGCCAAAGCACATCTCAATGACATAAAGAAAAGTGCTTGAATCTCAATAGGATAACCATAAATACCCTGAAAAATGAAAGCAACCCATTAGGATATGCCACTATAGAGTTTCTGGATGAGAAGACAAAGCTCTTAAAGAGCTTCAGTGTTTATAGATGAGAAAAAGAGTGAAGATAGAGTGGTTTTATTTATTTATTAATGGACACGCCAACTCAGACACACTACCATAGAAGTGTCCGAGCTTCTCAGCCCTATTGTATAGGGAGTTGAGAATCAAAATTGATGTAAGAACAACTAGGCACAGACACAGACAATAAATATAGATTTAAGAACAATAAATTAGCATTTTTTTTGGTGGACGCATCTTATCTGATCCTTTTGTCTTCCTCTTCTTTTTCCTTTATACCTCCTTTATATAGGATATAGGGCCTCTCCATCCGAATGAAATCCAAGCATAAACATTCTATAGAATGCCACTAAAAATTGATGGCAACATTTATTGGTCTTGGAAGAGCGAAGCATCACAAACATTTTAATTCTTATGTATAAGAAATTTGGGTCTTGGAAGAGCTAAGCACCACAAACATTTTAATTCATGTGTATAAGAATTTTGGTGATATCATTAAAATAAGATCACAGGTAAATAAACATTCTGTAGAAAGCCACTACAAAATTGCCTGCAATACTATAGATTGGTTTTGGAAGAGCAAAGCACCAAGCATCACAGAAGATTTAGTTAATATGTATAAGAATTTTGGGTCTTGGAAGGGCAAAGCACCACAAACTTTTCAATTCATGTGTATAAGAAATTTGACGATATTATTAAAACTAGATCACAAGTAATCTATAGAAAACTAGAAAGCCATACCAAAATTGTCCGAAATACTTAGATTGTCTTGGAAGAGGGTCTGTATATGAACCTTGGGTCTTGGAAGAGCTAATAAGCACAACAGACATTTTAATTCATGCGTACAAGAACTTTGATGATATTATTAAAACAAGATCACAAGTAAATAAACATTCGTAGAGAGCCACTACAAAATCTGTTGAAAATAAGATTATATTGTCAAAGATATCAGAAGATATGGAAGATATCAAAATATGTGAGGATCCCATAATTTGTGCATATTATGATTCTTTTATATCTTTGATTTATTTCAATTCCTTAACTTATAAGAGATTTGATCGTATCTCCCACTTTATATATATGGTGTATCATGTAAACAAGAGTATCAAGTTGTGCGAATGAAAGACGTAGCCCCCTAAGGCTTTGTATGTGTGTGGATGTAGACCAATATTGGCCGAGCCACATTAAACTTTTGTACTCTTTCTTTTCTCTTTTCTGTCTCTATTATCTCTCCATATTCAACCTTATTGCCTTATTACAAATTCAACTCGGTATCAAAGCCCACTAAACCCTAGGCTTGTTTCTCTCTAGAGTGCTTTCTTACTCCACATTTTTTTGTTATCAAGGTGTTTTTCCCTCTTTCTTGAGTTGACCAATAGTTTGCTGATGTACTAAGCAAACTTTGTGATTACTTGTTCGGGAACTGACGGTGTGTTTGGTAACATTATTTTGTGATATGCCAAGTTTTCCAACTACTTCTCTACCTTTTTAACATCTCTGTGCTAATGTGGGAAGCACATATTTGGTTATTTTTGTTTTGAGGCTACCGGGTGTGTTCGGTAGTATTCTTTATGAGATGTTGTTTTTCCGGCCTTTCTGTTTGTGGTGATTTGCCATTGCTTTGGCTTTGTTTCTTTCTCTCTCTCGGTTGGTTTCTCTTGCAGCCATCATGACTGATTCCATGCACGTTTCTCTGTTGCAAAATGTTGATTCTTTGCATATGTTCTTTGAAGTTGTCATTGAAATGAGTTATTACAATTATTGTTTTCTTTCGACACGTGCATTGTAGTTGTTTGTAATGATTATCCTATTTTCGAGTTCAAGTTGGACACTTCACTTCAACCAATCCATGTTCCAACTTGAGGGGGACTGTTGAAAATAAGATTATATTATCAAAGATATCAGAAAATATGAAAGATATCAAAACATATAAAAATCTCATGATTTGTGCACATTATGATTCTTTTGTATCTTTGATTTATTTCAATTCATAAACTTAAGAGATTTGATTGTATTTTTCACTCTACATACATGATGTATCATGTAAACAAAAGTACAAGTTGTGGGAATGAAAGATGTAGCCCCCTACGGCTTTGTGTGTATGGATGTAGGCCAATATTGGCCGAACCACGTTAAAATTTTGTATTCTTTCTTTTCTCTTTTCTGTCTCTATTATCTCTCAATATTCAACCTTATTGCCTTATTACAAATTCAACTCACCCACAATACTTTTTGGAAGAGAGAAGCATCACAAACAGTTTAATTCATATTTATAAATAGATTAATTAGTTGTATTGATATATCTGATTTTATATGTGTATACAATATACAATTTAGCTATATTGATAATTTATTTTATTTTGAATAATGCATGTATTTTTTTATGTCAATACATAAATAAATAAAAAAACATACATTATATTAAATCAAATGAAACTTACGATTCACAATTCACTATTTTACAAAAACGATTCTTGATTCGATTCACGATTTGACAACAATGTGTATAAGAACTTTGGGTCTTGGAAGAGCTAAGCATCACAAACAGCATAATTCATTTTCATAAGAACTTCAATAATATTATTAAAACAAGATCACAAGGTATCTTACCATTCTTCGATCAATCATTGAGCATCCATCAGCACACAGCAGAGTTGGAAATGTATCAAATCCCTCTGACAGACACAGGGACAGTATAAGCCTCATTCCCTTTTGGCACTCAGGAGTTTCAGCCAGAGTTAAATCTCCAGTAGACTTTGTATATGCACGCAGAAGAATAATCCACCAGAATCCAGAGTCAACTGGAGCAACTCTTCCAATTGCACTCTCACCAAAATCTGCTACTATAGTATCTGTTTTACGAACTGGATCATGAAGAACTTTGAAACTAGCTGGCATTGCTCCTTCCCCAAGCTTGAATCTGTCTATTCTCTTTTCCCACCCCTGAAGCTGTAGGGTCCTCAGTAGAAAGTTCTTAACTATATCAGGCTCACCATTCATTAGAAAAGCCAGAGCACTGGGTACAAAATCTCGAACAAAAACCTACACAGTAAAGGAAAAAAATTCAAATTCATGAAAATTCCGTTGTCAAAATCAGCCTAACTTTTAATAGCTGTTAGTCTAAGGTTGAACTTTGAGCCAATTATACTATTTCTACTTTTATGTTAATTTCATTAAGAAAATCTTCCAAATATTAATTAGGTGGTGTTTGACAACCCAATTCAACACTGATTTATCCCAAAAAAACACCCAATTCAACACTTCATGCTAAATTGTACTATGTGCAAATAAAAGTCCATTTGATAACTACAATTTTTATCACTTAATCTCTTAAAAATAGGCTAAAGTTTTAAGTTATAGGCTTCTTACTTAATTCTTAATGTTGAAAGATGAATTTTTAACCTCTTATGATTATTACTGTTGACGTATACCACCACTGTCACCACACAACACTGCTATGCCACCACCGCTTCCACAATACTGCCACCACTAATAACTCCACTACCACCACCATCGCCACACCACCCCTACCCCTCTATGTCCACCACCACCACCACCCCTCTACGTCCACTATTGCTACTCTATTACAATCACTAATGTCATTACTACCACCACCACCACAGTCATCACCACCATAATTTTACCACCATACAACCATTGTTGCTGCCACCAACACCACCACACTACCACCACCATGTGGTTACCAGCCCACCACAACAATCATAAAGAGTGTAAGAGAAAAATTAATAAATTTCAAATTCCAACTTCTTTTACATATCAAACAATTTGATTAAATTCAGCAATTAAATTTCAGTAACTACAAAAAACCTTTTTAGATTAAAAAAACTCAACATTCAATTTTGAATACTTAATTTTCAATTTTTAATTTTCAATGTTACCAAACTCCACCTTAGTCGCATTTCATCAAAAAAATCACCCTTGCAATTGGCAGTCTTATTTCATCAGTTGTGAAATTTTCAAGACCAACATCTTCCAAAGCTCAATGCATTTGAAGTGTTTAGTTAAAACCTTTTACCTGATCATAATTAAGAACCTCCTCTGAAGCATGGTCATAAGCAGCAATTGTGCCAACCGGTTGGCCCCGGAAGAACACCAAAGATCTGCGAAGAGCTTCCCAGGCATCAGCAACCATTGGATGAGGATCAAAAGAGTTCCTAGCCGATGAAGCTGGGGTATCACATGTTGACCGTCCTATAGGCGAGTATGTGCTCTCAAAGTTATCTAGGCCTCTTGCTAAGCCAATCGATAACTCACTAACTGACCTCTCATCGAACGATCGCTGCCTCTCGATGTTGATCCTTGGCTTGTCAAGAAGCTTTGAGAGATCATAATCGTCCATTTCAGAGATGGAACAATGAGAACTCACCTTTCTAAGTCCATACTCCTTAGTGCCATCCATAGTTCTGAACTCTTCAGGTCAAAGATATTCTGCATCAACAAGAGATGTACATTTATGATCCAAGTGGACTGTTAGAGTGAAAAGATATAAAAGAAAAACCATATATATAAAAACACCCAAAAATAAAAAGTCTATAAATATGGAACAGAAACAGAAATATAACAGTCAACAACAGAATATACAAACAAGAAAAAACATGAAAAATAATGAAGTTTTACAACAGTACATTCTTATCCAAATTCAAATTAAAAACTACCAAAAAAGAAAGGTACTTTTTTTCTTTATCCATACAAAATATACAAATTTATGAGATAAATAACATAACAACTAAATGTGCTTAATTTACAGTTGACTACCAAATTGAAATATTATTATCCAATCAAATTAATAAATGTATACAGAATTAAAAAGGTAAAATAAAAAATTTGGACATTCATCAAAAGATATTAAAAGCAAATAATTACCAAATACAAAAAAATTTGGAGTTAGTTACAATAGATAAATAAATAAGCATTATATAATCTAGTCACAAAAAATTTAAAAAAAATCACTTCATTATGTGCCAGGTTAACATAGAATATGCACTATATTGTTAATTCATCATAAGAACAGGGAAAATTATGAGGTAAACTCAAGATCCATCAGTCAAGAAAAGTTCAAGACATTAACCTATGCATGTATTGTGCATAAAGTCAAACAAACGCATCAAATCTCAAATAAAAAAAAAACCACAAATTCATGAGCTTTGACGAAGAAACCGATCAAATAAACCAGTTCGTTGCAGATCCCCAGGTTCATTGCAGAAAAATAAAAAGAGAAATCGAGATTCAAAGCGTAGAGAGAGAGTGAGAGAGGGAGTACCTTGGAGAGCTCGAATGGCGATTTTCCGGCGAGATGAACGGTCGGAAGCTGACGCGACGCCGCCGAAGAGTGGTCTGGTAGAAGACTAGGGAAAAAGGAGAGAAAATAAGAAGAGGAGGAGAAAAAAGGAGCATGTCTGCGGGAGCTGGTATATATAGTGGGAGAGAGAGGCCTTGTGAGAGAGAGAGAAAAAGAGTGGAAAGGACCGTCCCCCAGTATGTGGTTTCCCTAATGTAAAAAAAAAAAATATCAGTTGTAAGTTGTTTACCGGCTATAGCCAGTGGTCGTATGAGAGAGAAAATTGTGAAAATATATTAAATTAGTTTGGTAATTATAGCTCATATTACATAAAATTGAAAATATTTTTTTAAAAATAAGTTGAAATTTTAATTTAGAGATCTCTTAGTTAATTTTGGCCTTCAAAAATGTAATTACCATTATCACCATCATCATGTTTGTTACTTTACTACTGTTTGTTGTCATTACTGTACTACTGTTATCATCACATTTGTCAACTATAACCTATCTTATTACTACAACCGTCATACCATATCCAAATGGCATTAAAATATTGACTAAATTATAAATATACTTCCTGAGATTTATTTAAATTACAAATTATCTCATGCGATTCTAGAAATTATATTATGTTTCCTATGGTTTTTAATTTCATAACAAATAGGTCATTTTATTAATAAATCAAATTAATTAATAATTTTTAATAATGTTAAAACTTTATTTTAATTAATAATTCAAATAAATTTATTATTGTATAAGTGAACACTTTTCACTTTTTCAATTAATTCTGTTAAATAAAAAATTTTAACAGGGAGGTATTTGTAATTTTTCAAATCACAAAAAATAATTCGTATTTTAAACAAATCTCAAAAAGTATATTTATAATTTACTCTAAAATATTTTTGAACTATGACTTTGTATTGTTGTTTTTATTTTGCAATAGTTTGTACTAAACAAGCCATAATTTGAGTTTGTCAAAAAAATATGAAGTTCTTAAACAGCAGTGTAACATTTTCAGCTACCTTTCACTGTTAGCCACCATTGCTATTAGCCGTTGATAATCATCTACTCACCCATCAGAGCCACTGGCCACTTTGTAACTTCTAGCAACACTATAATTATCAACTCGAAGAATCGGCACATTGTCACTCTATCTTGTCACCCCTCCACCACTAACTAAACCTACTCATTAAATATATTTATTTTTTATTTTTAAAATATACTTATACATCAAACAATGTTTCTTTTCTTTTCTTTTTTTCTTTTTTTGTAAGGAATTACTTGACGGTGAGTTCAGAAAAAATAAATTATAAATCAGTGAAAAAGTTTATATACTTTAATAATTAAAATGCTATATTTGTTTATGATTTTGTATTTTTTTTTTTAATGCATTAGTGCTATTAGTGGTGATGTTTTTAGTGGGATGAATCATTGTTGTTAAATATATTTATTTTTTATTTTTAAAATATACTTATACATCAAACAATGTTTCTTTTCTTTTTTGTTTTTTTTCTTTTTTGTAAGGAATTACTTGACGGTGAGTTCAGAAAAAATAAATTATAAATCAGTGAAAAAGTTTATATACTTTAATAATTAAAATGCTATATTTGTTTATGATTTTGTATTTTTTTTTTTTTACTATACCACTGTACAGTTTTTTCTCTCTTATGAAGAAAAAAAAAAAACCTTGTATTTTAACATGTAAAAAAAAAATTAAAAAAAATTGACAACATTATCGAAGGAATATTCTAAGAGGAAAAATGATTTGGACCTCTAAAAAAACACTTCTAATGCACCTCTAATTTGTCTTTTTCTTCTCCTGTTTTTGTTTTTTACTTCACTATTTTTTTTTTTTTTTAATTCCCGAATAGCTCATTAAAGCTGTACGGAATGACCTCTTATTAGAGGTATGTAGCAAGATTGATTCTAAGAGAAAAACTTCAGTTGGGGAAAGTTGACTGACAGACTGACACTTGTCATTGCCAACTAACCACCAAAGCCTAATTCTCCCAAAAATTCATAAAACATTAAGGTTGCATTTAGTAGAGTTTTATAAATGTGATTTGAGAGTATGAGTTATATTTTGAATTTTTGAATTGTGAAATTATGATTTGAGTGTAGAAAATTTATTTTGTTATAGTTTTTGAATAAAGTGTTAAATTAAATTTTGAATTAAGTGTGAAATTGAGTTTTAAAAGTTTAATTTGACATGTGAAGTAAGAAAATTTGTTTGGTTATGAGTTTTGGAAAAAAGTTTTCAAAACTTAATTCAAATTATTATAACTCATAACAAAACACACTACTTTCACACTATTGAAAATTTTGATCAACACTCATAACCAAATTCTTTTTAAAATTCAATTAAAAAAAATTATTATTAACAGAAAATAACATTAATCAATTTTTTAATTGAAAATACTACAAAGGAAATAATTTTTTTTCAAAATAAATATTCAAAATATTAAATCATAAATATTTAAAATAATTTAACATAATTAAAAAATTTAATAAGTAAAAAACTTTAAAAATAAATATTCAAAAATTTAAATTCGTCAAAATTTAAATAATTTAAATATTCAAAATTTAAAATAATTTAAATGTTAATATTTTAAATTTAAAAAAACATCTACACTCAAATCAATCGTAACCAAACACATAAAATAAAAACTCAATTAAGAAATTATTTTTAAAACTCATAACCAAACACATAACCCGAAACTACATATTACTTTCACAACTCTACACTCAAATCGTAACCAAATAACATAACAAAAAAATTAAAATATTTAAAAATATTTTTATAAAATAGAGTTTGAATTTATTTTTATAAAATATTTTAAAATTTAAAAAATTAAAATCATAATATTTTGAAATTAAAATATTTAAAAATATTCAAAAAATTAAAATTTTTAAAAATCGTAATATTTTGAAATTAAAATATTTAAAAATATTCAAAAAATTTAAAATTTAAAAAATCGTAACATATTTAAATATTAAAATATTTAAAAAATTAAAATATTGATTTGAATTGAGTTTTGAAAAGAGTTTTGAGTTATGTATTTGGTTATGAGTTTTGAAAAGTAATGATTATGCTTTAAATTGAGTTTTGTAAAATGGGTGTAAAATTATGATTTGAAAGCTCCAAACAAATAACACACTCAAATCAATGGATAGAATTATATTTTGAGAGGATTATCAAATGGAGCCTAAGAATTGCCCAGCACTTTAAAATAAGTACTAAACTAAACATGAATGAACAACCCCCCAAAACTTGAGAACTACCTTGTCCCACGCCTTAAATGTTATTTTGTTATCCTTTTATTTTCATTAGTTGCCTTAATGTAATACTAATACATATTCTTAACTTGTTACATCAAATCTTGTTTTATGTATCTAATTGTCCTTTTGGACCATTGAGGTTGAGGCTCTTTTATACAGAAATGAAATTGAAGTAGTTTTTTTTTTGGGTACATCACATTGAAAAGTAAGCATGCAAAACGATTGGAATAGTTAATAGACAATGTGTTTGGCTTGTTTAAAGTTTTGCCCACTTTCATTTCAGTAATGCTACATACTAGAGATGGCAATCTGAAACCGGCCCGACGGTGACCCGACCCCCGTCCCCGAATTTAATGGTTATTCACCAAAAAAATCCCCTACGGGCCGGGGACGGTATTTAAAATTTCATCCCCGATGATATCCGGGCCGGGGACGGGGATATATGTTTCATACCCGGACCCGGCCCGGCCCTGGCCCCGCTTCCCGGCCCCGGCCCCGCCCCGCTGATTCCCCGAGACGAAATTACCTTTTTAAAATTTATTATTAATGTTATCCCAGGTAGGCAACCCAAGAGGAGGGTAAATTAAGTTATTAAAAATTTTACAATATTAAAATTAACACAATATTCAGAATTTTAACAAATAAAAAAACAGAATAATAACTATCAATATAAAAGTAAGAGAGATAGGGAGAGTAAATTAAACACTGAGATTTATAGTGGTTCAGCACGTCAGGCCTACGTCCACTCCCCAAGCAACCTCCTTAAAAATTTCTTTACTATCAATTGAATAAATACACCACCAAGCTTGTGGATTTGGCACAAGACTTACTCTTATCTATTGAGTCTCACTCAACAATAAGTGTCTTACCCTTACAAAATATCTCACAAAAATAATGAATAAAAATAAGTGGTACTTAAACCCTCTTTTACAATAATTCTCTCACAAAGAGTAGATATGAAAGTGTAAGAACAAAGGCTACACTTAAATCTGAAAAGTGAAATAACAGAATACAATATACTGAGAATTTTGGAGCACACTTAAATTTTTCTCTTCAAGTTCTTGATTTTTCTCCATACACAACACTTCTATTTATACTGAAAAATATACCCGTTGGAGGAGACAGACGCTCCTTAAGACGTCAACTGAATGAATCAATTTGGAAGAGAATCACGTGGAAGAAAATTTGCACTCTTGCAAATTTGAACATCTTTAGGTATTAGTCAAAATTGTACAATAAAGCAAAAAAATTAATGATGACTTTTCACATGCTATGATAATGTTTCCACTAATAATGTTTCCACATGCTAATATATATGATACAATTACTGTTTGTGTAAAAAGTCTAATTGCTCCCGTGATGTGTGCTATTTGTATTAAATGCATTATATATATATATATATATAATATTCAAATCACATATTTGCATACACAAAAAAATCTCTTTAAATAATATTTATGATAGATCTCAAAATATATGTCTTCTTTAAATTAATGTATATGTTGTAGAGATTTTAAACTAAATATATCCTATCACTCCATATAAATTTTGTCAAAAAAAGACAACCCATCAATATCAAATTTGTCAAATTAATACAACTAATCAATATTAATTTCGTCAAAAGGTGAATAGTGATCGGCCGAACTTTTCAAAATCATGAATAGTAATATTTTCAAAATATTTCCATTTAAATAATATTCATAACAAATATAACATACAACCTATAGTTTAAACAGATTTAATTTTGTGTCAAATAATATAGAACATATGTATTAAAAAATCCAAATATGTGTATTAAAAGATCCAAATTTTTAAATAATATTTTACGCATCATCAAAATTAAACAACATGATTAACAATCTCCCTCTTTTTGATAATAGC